AGAAGGCAGATCAGAGACCTCTGATCCGTCTCCTGCCCATTCACAAAACCCAATGAGGTCAGTTTTCCCCCCCGCCACTCGCCTGGAGACCAGTTCAATGTCTGCAGCAAATCCCAGCAACCCCAGTAAATGCCCTAGTATTACTGCCAGCTCTGTCATAAGCATAAGCTGTACCAAGCTGACAGTAAAACACAAGCGTCCAGCCTGCGATCTACACCAGTGTGTCACCAGGAGCATAAGGGGAGCAGGTTACTCAGCTTGTGTAACGCTACAGGAATGACCGGCATGCATTCTGTCATTTAGCATTAAAAAGCACATCGCTGAAGTCACCAAACATTCAGGTCCGTAGCAGATTAGCTTTGGTACGGGGGGGGGGGGGGGGCATCTGTGATTTATTTATTCATTCATTCCTTATTTACTCCATACTTATGATAAGGAGTGATAGCAGGGGCTAATTTGGTTAATGTTTCCATTTGGCACTAGCACTGCAGCCGCATAGAATAACATTAATCTTTGATATGTTTACATCAATTGAATGTTAATATATTCAGATATGATTGTGGACAGGGGTCAATGATGACCTTTTAATACTGCAAATGCTAATATTAAATTACAGACAGGTTTACTGCGCATGCCGGTTCTATGTTTAGGTTAATAACATTTTATGTTGTTTTGTTTACTGTTGGGCTTATAATGACATGCAAATTGCTGCGGACAAAAGTGTCTGGCAAGTTAAACCTGTCTCTGGACTACAGCTAACAATAGCTGCCCCTGATAGCACATAGCTCAAGATATCGTATGTCGCAATCCCAGTTAGGTCTCAGACATCACAATTTCATTTATCGTTTGGTCTGGTTTGTCTTTAAGAACATATAGCTTGTTACACGCCTCGTACAGGAAATGTTGCTTTGTGCTACTGGAAATAACATGCTTGTCACCAATGGGGTCTCAGTAACCCCCCCAACGATCAGCCACTGCTGTTCTGCGCCATCTTTAACCCCATGTCGACCTTCTCATCACGCACACAGCACAAAAACATTTCAGCCGAATGCGAGTTTCGGGAAATGAAATGGTACTCAGTATTCCTTCAAAAGTGTGTCACCTCCCATGTCAGGCCCTTACATTCAAAACTAAAAGCACACAAACAGACCAGGCTTGGTAAAGGCAAACTGTTGCAATTTCACATTTGCATTGCAGTGAACAGGAGTTTCTATATTGAGAAGTATGTTAAAAGATCCATCCGTTACTGAGTTCGTTTGTTAGATAATTCAGTTAAGATCCAAATTTTTCCAGACCAACCAGGTTAAATGAAGCATTTGTTTACAAATGGGGAATGTAAATTAATACTACATCTTCAGATAGTCCTTTGCTACTTTCTAGTGGTTTTTGTTATGGTTAAGTTTATTAAGAATTAAATTTTATATACAGTGCTCAGCATGAGAGCACCCCCTTTGAAATGAAAACTTTTAACCAATCCTCAGTATGATCACCTTCTTTGCTTCTTTAGGATAAGAAAAATCATACATTTTATTCAAATAAGGTGATGCAAAAATGACTACACCCTAAAACAAATTCTACTATATCTAATATTTTGTATGGCCTCGTTGACTTAAGCAACTCTTCTAGAAACATTTCTATGAAAATGAACAAGTTTGACATACACCCACGTCTATCTCTCTCCATTCTTGAAGGATGAACTCTTTCAGACCCTGCATGCTGGATGGAGAATGACATGCTAACTTGTCTTTTCAGAACTGCTCAGAAGTGTTCCTTCTGGTTGAGGTTTGGTGACATGTTCTGCCACTGAATCACTTTCACCGTTCTTCTTCAGAAATGCAACAGTGGCCTTAGACGAGTGTTTTGGACCATTGTCCTCTTGTAAAAGTGCACGACGCCCATGGACACGGAGTGATGGTAGCATCTTCTCTCTCATTATGTCACAGTACATCTGTGAATTCATGATACCATCTATGAAATGCAGCTCCCCGATACCTGCAGCACTCATGCAGCCCCACACAGGGACACTGCCACCATCATGCCTTTTTCATTGTACTCCTCACCCTCGCGATGTCATACAGTCTGGAATCCATCAGAGGCAAAAAGGTTAATCTTTGTCTCGTCACGCCTAAGTATGGAGTCCCAGCAGTCTTTGCCTTTGTTAACATGGGCCCTGGAAAGTTCTAGATGGGCTTTTATATGCCCGGGCTTCAGCAGTGGCTTCCTTTGTGGACGATAGCCATGCATGCCACTCCTGTGCAGTGTGTGTCATATGGTGTCACAGGAAACAGTCACCCCTGTTTGACTTCATAATGATTTACCCAATTGTGCCGAACTTGCACGCCCATTTCCTTCAACCTCTCTCATCACAAAACGATCTCGACAAGGTGTTAACTCCTGTGGACGGCCTGGACGTCTCCGCAAGCTTCCCAAATGTCCAACCATTTTGAATTTTTGGACAACTTTTGCAAAAGTACTCAGACTTATTAGCAATGTCTTACTGAGTTTCTTATAACCTTTTTTGTGCAAAGAAATTATTTTTCTCAGATGTTGTGACATTTGTTTTCTATGTGGCACCATTTTGTCAGCATTGAGTGGAACTAGATTTTCTCTCTTAAATACCACTTTTAATTATCATTTATCCTGTGGCCACCAGTGTGACAATTGATTAGATTCATCTGTTGGTGAATTTTATCAGGTTTTTCTCCTAAGACATTAATTGGGGTATAATCATTTTGCATCACCTTACTTGAATAAAATGTATTATTTTTCTTATCCTAAAGAAGTAAAGAAGGTGATCATACTCGTATGTTGATACAAATAAATGTTTAATAAAAATGGTTTGTAAAAAATACAGCTAATTGTCCTCATAATCACTGAGAAATGGTTAAAAGTTTTGATTTCAAACGGGGTTCACTCATTTAATCTGCGCACTGTAAATCATTCATAAAGGTGCATAATAAAGATGCCGGTTATTTGAAATGCACCCCTTTTGTAAAACCCTGCCGGAATCAATCAGCCCCTCAATGCAGATGGACTGAACAAAGACAATCACTTTCGCAGTTATAAAAAAAAAAATAACCCACATGTCACGGAAAATGCTTTCAATATAAAACATACAATTCAGATAACACCATGCTACCACTGTATATGACGTTTGCGTGGGACCCAAATAAGTTTAATACGCTTTCCCGGTCGGTTACCGTATTATACTAATATCAAAGCAAAAATTTTAACAACAATGGAAGAATTGACTGTCTTTTTCATATTTTGCTCTGTACAAGGAAACTAACAAATGTAACAACGAGCTATTACTGCTTTGTTAAGCCACAGTTCTCCCACCTGTTAATCTATCAAGATTTCCATTTTTCCCTTTAAGACAAGTTTCTATTTTGTTTTGCTGTTTATTAAACTAATTTGCAAACATAATTATAACTTAAAATATAGTAAATTTAGGCCTACTTAAAAGGAAAATGCTAAAAACTTTATAAATCTCGCATCCAGGCTCACGAGTCAAAAAAATCCGGACATTTTTAGTGTACTGCTACGTCACTCAATTGTTTCAGTCATCCACATTATCATGTTGAATTATATCATTTGTACTTCAGTTACACAAGTTGAATAATTTGACAGGAAAACCAGAAAGATTATTACCAATGCTTCACTAAGGAAAATGAGGCAATCATGCCTTGTTTATTTCTTAAATTGTACAAATCTTAAGGGGGTAACCCGCACAAGTAACCCTACTATCACACTGTAAAACGCATGTCCGTGAAGCGTTTCAACTTTCTGTTGTTATTTCTGCAAACCCATTAGCCTAAGCAATGTTACAAACTACACCTGCTAGTATTTAATGAAAGAAAACATACATACCTTCAGTTTTCCCACGGCTCAGCTCCCGAAATGAGTATATGCAGCCCTTGCGCTCTTTGACGTTTTCTTCCCCTTCGCTTCAGTAGCTTCTTCCTTAACAGGACTGCAGGCGTCCACGGAGCGCTGGGGGGGAGGGAAGGGGGGGAGAGAAACTTCAGCAACTTCACACAAGAGCTCCACTCAACGGACGGCAACGGGACACCGCTATAATTTAACCGCCATGTATTACATGTTTAGCAAAACGCCTACCGGCCTAAAATATCAACGGCCCACCGTTTCAGTTTTTTTGTAAAATTAAGTATTAGGCAGTTCCACAAAGCGGCAATGTTTAATAGCATACAAGAAAACGAATCACACATATTTTAGGGAGAATATCACCAATTTTCCCAACCCCCCCTACAGCACAAACAATTAAACTATTCAGTGTCATTGGCAACATAATTTAATAATTACTTCATCTGACTGAAATTACAATTAAGCAATACAAGACGATCGTTTTGTCATAAAATAAGCTATTACAATAAAAGCTTTGAAGTTGGGGAAAAAGTTTAATACTTTATGAGTAGGAACAAAAATGTAATTTAACTGAAGATAGTCAAATATTTGTATTAGTTTGAAAGTCAATTCTAGGTCCAGAACTATATATCAATTATCAAGAATCCTCCTACACCACAGTGAATAAAGAGAAAGTATCATATGAAGTGATATTTTATTTGTTCATTTACTTACATAAACATCAGATTGAATTTAATCCCCTAAAATGACAAGATATGGCACGTTTTATAGAAAAAAGTACAAAACTTACAAATACATATCCATGCAGAGACACCTTATATGGTTTCATAACTTCATAACTGATCTTTCCTGCATAACTGCATATCTCCTTGTTCTCTTGATTTTGCTGTCCTGCGGTTCCTTGCAGCACCAGACCCCACAGTGACCCTTTCTGCCCAGGCACAGTGGCCTTAAAAATAAACTAGCAGCAGGAGAGTGGTGTGTATGACCCAAGAAATTCATTTTCTGTAGTATTGGTGGAGCAGCATACCTGTATTTACAGGAAAACATGCCTGAAAATTTCCTAAATTAAAGATCAATATTTATAATTAAAACTCAAGTTTTTTTTTTTTTTTTTTATAAAAAAAGCCATTTAATAAGTCTATATTTACAGAATACAGTGAAATACAGCGGCTGGCAACAACAGATAGCTTATAGAGAACCTCCGCTGTAATAAACTCCGGAGCATGCTGAGGTCGAGAGTAATAAAGTCAGACATTTCACATCATACATAAAATAACCGTCACAAAGAACAAAATACTTTTTATTTAATTTACAAAACTCTGTGAATTGTAAGACAACTAGTAGTACTGCATCACCAGTTATGAAAACTTGGGCTTTATTCTGCATCTAGAATACCTCTATACTGATATGCCCAACATAATATCACAGTTAAAAAAAATATTAGGTGCACTTTGAGAGCTATATAAATAAACTCTAGATGCCTGCTGATAAATGTTATATTTGAATGGCTTTGCCTGTAATAGATTTAGGATACAGTTCTTTTTTGTCTTAAAATGGATGATGGGAAATAGTTTTATTTTGATTACATTGTACAGCTGTGAACACAGCAAGGAGAAATTCAGCACTTTGAGGATATCGTCTTCGTAGGAGCTGCTAAAGAAGTAAAACTGTAACATGAAAGGAAGATACATTCAGAAAGCTTTTGGGACAGGTACATTCAGGTATCTATGGTGGTTGACATGCGATAGCACAAGGAAGACAGAAAAGAATGGGAATATAATGTAGAAAGGAAAAGAAAGGTGAGGAAGTGATGTAAAGATGGAGATGGCATCAGGGCTGCCACATCCGGCCTGCTGTCAGTGATGCGGAGAGCTCTGATTGGGTGCTTCCGATCCAGGTGCATTCAGTGCTTAGGCTGGCAAGGCTCAGGTCCTGCGTGCCTCCAGTCTGTGGGACAGCTGGGACAACGTCCTTTGGTTGTCGATGACAGTGAGCTGGCGCACGCAGCTCCACACATCCTGGTGGTTTTTATTGGCCAGGGACACATCAGGGCCTGAGGCAGAAGAGGGCAGGCCCACATCTTTAGAACCTGCTCTGCTTCTTAACGTTCCCCCGATTTGCTCCCTCAAACCCAATCACTGACATTCAGTAACTGACGTGCTTAACCCCCCCAAGTTCTCAAAATGAGAACCAGGATGAAAAATGAATGGTTCACAAGAAGTGGGACCAAGACATCCGACTGGATGATCCTGCCCCCTCTATTGCTCGGATCCACCTCCTCTACAATCTTGATTGGCTATCTCTCTCAACCAATCATTTTTCGTTCTGCCCACAGAACATTTTCTTTGCGAAAGTAAAACACCTAAGAGCATACGGATCACTCCACACAGCCAGTAGTAAGACAGAATGTCACACTTACGGAGCTAGACAGCCTAAAGGCTTCAAAATCACTGACTACTCAGAATCAAGAAAGGCAGGAACAGGAAGGAGGACGGCGACTTACTGAATGGCTGGTTCCGGCAGTATCTCACTATCCTCACCGTGTTAGCGATCATTCGCTGGAAAGACAGCAATCAGGTGTATTTAGCACATGCAGTTTCATGACCTCAGCAGCCATGTCAGAACAGCTGTCAGCAAGGCTCACCATTTTCTCAAAATTGACTAAGTTGTCAACGAATGTCTTGTTGCCTTCATGACTAAAAGTCATATCTGTAAATATAATGAGATTTCATTTTATTTTTGTGTCAAAGAAAAAAGGCACAGTGTCGTGGAAATGGACCGAAATTGCCGATAACTCAAATCCCATGACTTCAAAGGAATGAGCATTTTTTTCTGCTTTACAAAATTCGCTTAAATGATCTCCTGCACAATAATGTTGCCATATGATTTCTGTCATTATGGTACAATAAAAAACTCAGTTACTATTAAATCATCATTCATAAGCAATTAATTCTAATTTCTTTAGGATGAACACAAGGAGGTGAATGCGGCACTCATGTAAACTATTTCATGTAATGAGCCCACATGTGAGATGTGGGCCTGGTCAGTGCAGGAGTGTTGATTTTCACCCTGGGTCCAGCCATGGGTCTTTTTAGTCATAATACCTACAGTAACACTTCACCACATATTGTTCCCCTCAACCCAAAAATTCCAAGACATATTTTGTTTTGTGAGACACTCAGTGTCATGCCCTGCTCGTCCGATCCTCCTGTGTGCCACGCCCCCTCGCTACCTCGTGTGGAATCCTCGTGTTCCCAGCTGTTTCTCGTTGTTGTTAATTAGTCCTGTGTATTTAAGCCCACGTTTGAGTATGTTTCCCTAGTCCGGTCGTTGGCGTTGTGATGTGTTCCTAAGTGTGTTTTCTTGAATGAAACCCCATGTTTGCCTGATTTCGTGACTCCTGCTCCTGTTTTCCCAGCGCCGTGCCCCTCAGTCTCATAACACTTAGTACGTTTACATGCACACTAAGAATTATTCATTTTCAAGATTATCTAGTACATGTTTAAAAATCAGATTAAAGTTTAACTCATGCATGAGTGCTGCATGCGTTCTCTGAGACAAGCATAAACATTTTCATCCTTGCTATTTAAATCATTCCTAGACGGGTTTGTGAGAAATTTATGCTGTTTCATAAATACCCCAATATTTATTACAACAAAATCACACTGCAATATTTGAAAAATTTCAAATAACATGCTGTCACAGTATATTTCACAAAATATTTTATTTCTTGTTATGCTATCCTGATCTTGTTGTATCTGTTCTTCCGACCAGATCACAATTAAAGCTTGTGTCACTTCATTTGTCCACGCACCCATTATTATTAATTTTATTATTTTTCTGTGTCTGTGACATAATAGATCAAACGGAAAAAGCCCAGTACTAACAAGCTGAGAGGAGCCATATCGCCACCTATCGTAACGGAGTCGGACATACTTTGGTCAATAAATAGATTCCCCTCCCATGCATGCATAATGAGACAAGGACAGTGGTCTGATTAAATGGCGCAGTTAAGCTATAACCGTGGCTCAACTTAGCTGTGCATGTAAACGTACTGACGGAAAACTGACACAGCGGGTGTAACGGAACATGAAAATTTATGAGTGTTGGAACCAACACAGCTTATTGAGGAACCAGCAGGTAAGACGCTTGGCGTAATGAGGCATGTTGTGGGCCCTCTCCGTGTCACCTTACCCTTAATGAGGAGGGGCATGAAGGGGATGAGAGGGGTGTCCAGTTTGGCCACAGTCAGCCTATAGGCCCGATGGTTTCTGGAAGGGTCCTGTAGACACAGGTCACCCAAAACATTCACATAACAGATACAGGAAATCTAATCCAGTTGCGGTTGTGGTGCCCTTTAAAAATACATTTCCTGTAGCGTTACCGTAACAGCCATTGGATTGGCTTGCCATCCATCCACATCACAGTTTGTAGATGTCAGAGTGGGTAGCACGGTTGCCATGGAAACCCGCCATGGCCTGGGCCATAGCTCCTCCTACTCACCATCAGACTTTCAAACTCTCCGTAGAACTTCTTGAACTTGCCAGGCAGTTTCTGCAACGGACAGCAAGGTGAGGACAGACCTGCAGCACCCCCCCTCCCCCTGCCTCCCACCTTAATGATGCAGGGTCTCCCACCTCCCACGTCTGGCTTAGCCTGCTGACCGCCGGGTTGCTCATCCCCATAATGATGGCGAAGAAGGAGTTCAGGTTCTTGTACTCCTTGCAACTGAAACCATGTAAACACAACCCACAGGTGAGCATCGGGTGTGAGGCGGAGACACCTCCATCGGCATCAGGAAAGGCTGGGGCACTTTCCTCCTGCCCATTCCAAAGATCGTTCTACCCAAAGATGTGCATAGATTTTTGAAGGGGCAGGTGCTTGGGGGGGGGAGGGGGTTGGCTGGCCGAATATTGCCCCTTCAGGAAATTGGGGGAGATCCCATCGTAGTACCCTCACACATAGAGAAGTGTTTCTCAACTCAGTTCTCGGACCCCCAGATAGTTCACATTTTTATTCCCACATACACACCTGTACCAGATACTCTGTGTTCTTGATAGTTTGGTTCAGGTGTAGTAGGAGCTGGGAGGGAGCGAAAATGTGGACTATCTGGGGGTGTCTGAGGACCAGGTTGAGAAATACTGAAGTAGAGGGTCATTAATGCAGGCAGAATCAGCATCAGATGGTATCTATTATGGCTGAGGTGTAGGCTGCTTAGCTGGATGGGCAGTTACGGTAGGTTGCGCACTCACTGGGCGGCGATCTTGATGAACTTCTTGAGGAGCTGTACACGCTTGCCAAGCTGGGCGCAAAGGCACACCTCGGTGACTACCCACAGCTGCACCTCGTTGAACCTCCTGAGGAACAAGTCCAGGTTGGCTGTGGTCTTCTTGAAGTTGTGCCGCCCGAATGTCTGGTATATGAGCTCATGCTGCCAAAAGAGAGGAGCAATTTGTCAAACCCCAACTCCACCAGCCAGAAGGGGGGGCAGAGGATGCCTCTCACCTCATGGACACAGTTGAAGAGCTCCCAGTCGTAGAGCGTCATCTGATAGGCCAGGTCTTTGGAGCTCATCAGCTCGAAGGTTCCGAAGGACCCTGTGGACGGTCCTTCCTGCTCTGGCAGTGGAGTCTGAAACGCGGATCGTACGATTTCACTTCAGTATGCTGACCTCAGACACAGCAGACAGACATTCTGAAACACAATTACACTTCTGAGGCATGTCTTAATAAATCCTATTAGGTGCAGGGGCCATAAAATAGATAGAAAAGTCAATTAAGTGACTTAGAAACGATAAACAAATATATTAAAATCCAATCATGGCCACACGGTCCAGAGAGCTGCATCTGGGAATTAGACAATCTGATTTCGTGCTGGTGTTTGAGTCATAGGAACGCGCTGGCAAATGTGTGTTCACACACCAGTGAATCCAAGAGGTTCCTGGGGCAGGCGAATAGACGTCCGTTGATGCTGAGCGTGGAGAACACTGAAATGTCATTGGGCTTCAGCACCAGCTTGTCTGGGAAAACACAGCACGTTACGTGGTCACCTACACCAAGTGTCGCTCACATATAAAAACAATTCTATGAAATCAATTGCACTTACTACAGCACAGGGAAGTTGCCATTTTATACCAAAGACTCAATGATCTTCATGAAGAACCCTTCCTAACATATATAAAGCCTCCTATACACATGTACAAATGTACACGGCACACTATAAAAGCAGAAAAAGCCAGAATACAGTGGAGGAATTGGGACAAAGACCCGATAGGTTGGACTAGTAGGGGAAGCAACGTCAGGGGGTCAAAGGTCAACTGGCTGGCCAATCATCTTGGGCCTGTGGGTTAACAGGATGCACAAATATCAAAGAATGATACATTTTAGTAACAGCCTCATAGGGCTCTCAGCTCCGTCCCAGTCCGCTGAGGTTACTGTGTAATAGTGTTTCAGGTGGTCTAGATAAGTCAATCTTGGGGCATTTAACTCTTAAATCCAGTATAAATTTATTTGAATTATTCATGTCCTGTGGTATGTCAAAGGAAGAGAGTGAAGTGCCATCTCATAAATAACAGCGATATTTCTGTCCTGAGCAGAACTCTGCCACCTGTTTGTGCAGAACTAGCATGAAGGAGGTAGAAGTCAAACACAGGCCATGTGGAAGTGGATTCATGGGCTCTGGCAGCAGGGATGGCATGGAGACGAGACGCCCGCAGAAAGGCTCGGAATCTTAAACGACACTGGGATTCTCCCAGGGCCACACTCCAGGCTTTTCATCACACCCCAGTAATTAAAACGGACAAATCTGGGACAAATCACTTTGGAACCTTGTCAGTGATTAATTAGCGCAGTGGGCGCTACGCCACGCTCCGTCTGCCCTGGCGTTCGATTAGCAAGTAGCTGTGGCCCTTCTCACCTCCGGCTGAGCTGAGGCAGACCAGGAGCAGGTCCTCAGCTGACCCCAGCTTGTCGGCCACAGCAGCAATGACTTCCCGCACGGAGGCTGCCACTGGCACCCGAATGGTGCTGTAGGTGTGGTCCGTGCAGTAGACTTTGGACAGGACTGGGAGAGAAAGACAGGTTAGCCAGAGGTAGGCTGAGCAGCGGTGACACTCAGGGGACAAACAATATGCCTCTGTCACCACTCTTCCTTTACTGAAGGTACCACCACTAGGGGGCGCTGAGTGGCTCAGTGAGTTAGGATGCTGTGACTGTGATTGGAAGGTCGTTGGTTCAAATCCCAGGCTCAGCTGAGTGACTTCATCACCGGTCCCCTGAGCAAGGCTCCTGGCACCGACTGACCCAGCATTCTCATAATGTACATCACTTCCGCTAAAAGCTTTCGCTAAATGAATAAAATATATTTTTCATGTCTACACAAAGAGTCTACCTACATTGAATGGTATCCTTGGTGTAATTGCATCTTTACTCTAATGATTTGCACGTTTGTAAGCATTTATCAGAAACGTTACTGGGTTGTGTTCTCGGAAAGGGTCGGGGGTGACCATTGACAGCGTTCTGCACATTCATTTTACAGAGAGCTGATAGCAGCCGCGCCGTCCAGCAACAATTAAAAATGAGGTCAGCGCGTGTCAGTGCGTCCCTGTCACATACTTTCATCAGTGCTCCTGATTGGCTGTCGCTTCTGGAGCCGCTCATCGCCCATGCTGAACTGACGCAGCAGAACTTTGTGCTGAAAGAGAGTGGGTTGGGGATCAGCAATATATAGGCGGGGAGGAAGGGGGGCATTGTGCCCTCTGTGACCCCTTGTTACTGTTAACAACTAGTGACGGCTTTGCCGTCTGCGTCACGCGACGAGCCATTTCATCAAAACAAATTCAGCATAACAAGAGGAAGAATGATGATCAGTGACTTACCTTTTTTTGAGAAGATTTTGCATCATCCAAACTGAAGATGACACCCAAAATGGAAAACGAAAATAGGAGGTTACACAGTAACTGTTCGGAACGTCTGCAAAGCAGCACCTGATCTGCGGTTATTATGATATATTTCTATTAATATTTACATGTTTTAGTTTCAGTTTAAATTTTTGTAATTTTATTTCTAGGAATAGACTGAACGTTGTTGAGCTATTTTATAAGTCTGGTCATTAGAAAAAAATCCTACATGAATACACAGCGCACATTATGCACTAATATCCTCAAAATGGGCAAAACATGATCCAGTTATCATTAATGGTAAAGGTAGACAAATCGTTACTTTAGCTAAATGGTATTTACAACTAGCAATTGATGTTTGCTTTTAGTTTATTTCAGTTAGTTTTGGAAGCAACTTTTATAGGTTTTGTTTAATTGTAGTTTTTCCATTTTATTTTCATATCTTGTTCTATTAGTTAACAAAAATGTTTTCTTATAGTTTCAGATTTTGCTAATTATAACCTGACCCCGATCTCTGGATTTCACCATAATGACCTGATCAGCCCAACTCCAACCCTAAACCATTACGCTCTACACCTACTTCAGTTTCACCACCTTCTCCAAATCAGCGAGCTCCTCCTTCAGCGCGGGGAAGACCCTGGAGTCGTCAGCCACTGTCACGCGCAACTCCTGAAATAAGCGACATGCCATCTGTCGCTAGGCCTGCCAAGCCTCCCCCCCCCCCACCCCAGTAGCGACCCCAGTAGGATAGTGGGACCCATACCAACCTCCAGGAATGCCAGCGAGGCCTCCTCTTCCTGGAGATGGTCCCCGTACAGCGAGGCCCAGTGCAGCACCAGGCGTACCACCCGCCGCTTGTTACCCAGGGCATAGTTCTGCTTCTCCTGCTCAGAACCCTGGGATACCTGGGCGTGGTAGGTGCTGGGCCATTAAGGAAGCCAAAGGAGCAGACACACGGCAAACCCTGACTCCCCTGCGATCCAGACTAGACTTGACCGAAATGCTGTGACTCCAGGAGAAATCATGACACTGGAATGTTAGAAGAATCACTCTACCAAAGGAACTCTGGTCAGTGGACGATTTAGCTGAACGGATGCAGAAAAGAAGATGTTTGGAAAGGCAGCTGGGGTGGGGAACTGGGAGCAGAGGGTGCAGGGTGACAAGTCAAAAGTAAAGAGTGAGGCGAAGGAAGAAGAAAGAAGGGAGGGAGGGTGAGGGAGCCCAAAGGATATTGTGCCATTAGCATCGGGCAGAGCTGGCTGTTGGGGATGAAGACACAGTGCATGAGCACAAAGTCGTCCAGGACTGGGTCTGCAGGAACAAAGCAGGACTGTTAGCTCTGTGCTAGGTCAGGACCTTTAGCTCTGTGCTAAGTCAGGACCATTAACTGTGTGCTAGGTCACGAGCTTAGCTCTATCCTAGGTCTGGATGGTTAACTTTGTGCGAGGTCAGGACCGTTAGCTCTGTGCTAGGTCAGGACCCTTAGCTCTATGCTAAGTCAGGGCCGTTAGCTCTGTCCAAGGTCAGGATCGTTAGCTCTGTCCAAGGTCAGGACTGTTAGCTCTGTGATCGGTCTGGCAGCCCAGGTGGCTGGGGCCTGAAAGGGTTCACCACAACATGCAGGAGAACCTGTGGCTAAGGGCACTGTGAGCCCCAGCAGGACTGGTTGTAAGGTGAAAGAAAGAGGGGTGTAGTGGAGACAGGGGCACGCGTCTTAGCATGCTAATGCTGCTAATCGTCCTATGGCAGCCAGACATTGGCCTTCAAAGAGCTATAGGTGTGCAGGGACATACAGGTAAGGGCAGCCAGGTGACAAATCAGACACATCAAGGACAAGAATGACATTCAACAGAATTCTTAAATAGTCACCAAATGATGTTTTCATAGTACGGTGAACTCCATGAGAGAGTGATACAATCGAGGTCAGCACCTGGGTCAGTGATGCTTGAGTCCAGCCTCACGGTCTCCAAGACATGCTCCAGGATCTTCTCTGGTGTACCAGACATCACAGTGTATCTGGAAAAGGATCAGTGGACTTCCATCACCTTTACACAGCTTATCTGCGATTCATCCGCTATTCATCTGCCCTGCTGTCAACTCCTTGGCCTCCTCTCTTTTATTTATGGGAAACTATTCAATTCTTTTTTTCACCCATTTTGTTAAAGAGCCACTATTACAGATGGAACTTGGGGCAGGAGATTTCTCAAAGGAGAGTGTTACTCTAGGGTGTTTGTGATGGACAGTAACTGGGGGACTCTAAGACCATGAGGCAGTGGTAGACTGAGGGACCTTGGCTTAGGTGCTGGTGGCTGAGGTACAGGACACATATGGCTTTACTGCTGACGCTCACATCACTTTTCTCTCAAACCCAACCTGCTCTTTGCAGCAGTAGGCAGAAGAAGCCAGAAGAAGTGACCTTCAAAACTCTGGTAGGAGTGGAAATTAATGCCACACATGTGATGTCATAGACAGGGGACATATCGACTGCCATCCAACACATGGAAATTATGACAGGGATTTATGGCAGTGTTCACACTCAGGCGACAGATACTTGTTAAGTGTCAAAAGAAATACATACATAACTGTCACACTAAAGTGTGACAGTAACAGTCACCCTGTAAGCGTGGAGGCTCAGGGCAGAGAAGACAATGGCATTTTCATGCCAGCTGTATCGCAGCAACAGCGGCAGCTGAGTGAGCAGAGCAGAATAGACTCCCCAGTTCTCCCAGGTGCTAATGCTCATTCTCATCACAGAGTCCACTGTCAATTCCTTCCTCAGTGAGGCTGTATGCAAATCAAGGCCCTAATACTCCCATAAACCCTTGCAGTGTCTCAGGATTTGTTAGGAGGACAGTTTTGAAAAGCCTGTTATAGCACCATGCCATGACAGCGGTAAATGAGAACTCAACTACAGGGGACAGTACTTGTAGTGTGAGGCCTGGGTGACTGAGGGACAGTACTTGTAGTGTGAGGGCTGTGTGACTGAGGGACAGTACTTATAGTGTGAGGGCTGTGCAACTGAGGGACAGTACTTGTAGTGGGAGGGCTGGGTGACTGAGGGACAGTACTTGTAGTGAGAGGGCTGGGTGAGTGAGGGACAGTACTTGTAGTGTGAGGGCTGTGTGACTGGGGGACAGTACTTATAGTGTGAGGGCTGTGCAACTGAGGGACAGTACTTGTAGTGGGAGGGCTGGGTGACTGAGGGACAGTACTTGTAGTGTGAGGGCTGGGTGAGTGAGGGACAGTACTTGTAGTGTGAGATCTGGGTGACTGAGGGACAGTACTTGTAATGTGAGGGCCGGATGATTGAGGGACAGTACTTATAGTGTGAGGGCTGTGCAACTGAGGGACAGTACTTGCAGTGTAAGGGCCATGTGACTGAGGGACTGTACTTGTAGTGGGAGGGCTGGGTGACTGAGAGACAGTACTTGTAGTGGGAGGGCTGGGTGACTGAGGGACAGTACTTGTAGTGTAAGGGCCATGTGACTGAGGGACAGTACTTGTAGTGGGAGGGCCATGTGACTGAGGGACAGTACTTGTAGTGTAAGGGCCATGTGACTGAGGGACAGTACTTGTAGTGGGAGGGCCATGTGACTGAGGGACAGTACTTGTAGTGGGAGGGCGTGCCTCCAAGGTTGGAAGTACGACTGCTGCTGGGGCTCTTCTCCAGAACCAGCACGTCTTGATGGTGCTCTTTCAGACGCACAGTGTTGGCTTCCACATCCTGTCAAGCCCAGAACATCCCACAGTGAGTCTCACAAGAGGGGAATAAGTTAAGGCCAAAATGTGCTGTGTTTAAAATGCATTATAATCATACAAAAAATCTGATGAAATTTACATGCTAATGCTTCGTTTTCATCCAAAATGCATTCAAATATTTATTTGAGGGCATTCCCTGGGACCAGTTTATCTACTATTTTCTTTTTTGTGTAATGTTGGTAATTCACCACAAGATCACAGCACACATGTAATACTGCTTTTAAACCAGTAGAGGGAGACTAACACCATTAAAATACAAAACGTGTTCCACAGTGGAATTCTTCAAAAGACATGGACAGGTAAACCCCCATTCCAGCTCTTTTACTACAGTTATTACTGATATTGATTTGAACTAATATGGAGGGCTATCTGAGGCCCAGGGCACCAGGGGGAGGTCTGACTGACCCTCAGGATGCGGTTGAAGTCTTCCTTGTCCACCCGCAGGAAGTGACAGTTGTCCTCCCGCAGGACGATGGAGGCAGCCCGTGGGGCATCGTTGACTAGTGCTAGCTTGCCAAAATCATCACCCTCGTGAAGAGTGCATACAACACCCTGAGGAAGACATGGAGGGGAGCAGTGCTTATGGTCACAAACTGCTCAGTGACAGCCCCCCCCCCACCCCCCAATCAGACACGAGGCAGCGGCACCTTGCCGTAGATGACGACATTTACAGAGCCCTTTAAGATGATGTACCATGAGGTCCCTTCTTCTCCTTGATTGAACACTGCAAGCAAAAAAGGTTCAACTTTAACATCCGAAATTCTGCAGTTTACAGCAGGGGACATTTTCCAGGTACAATACTCAGCCCTGGGGTCATTTTCCAGGTACAATACTCAGCCCTGGGGTCATGTTCCAGGTACAATACTCAGCCCTGGGGTCATGTTCCAGGTACAATACTCAGCCCTGGGGTCATGTTTCAGGTACAATACTCTGCCCTGGGGTCATTTTCCAGGTACACCACTTAGCTCCATGGCTCCCACACCTCCAGTTGTTCTATCCCACCACCACACAATCAGTTTAAAATAATTATCAGGTCTATAATTACTTATACTGGAGTAAAATATAATATATTTTAATATAATATATATATTTAAATGTCATTCAACACCAAGGGTGGAGTGGTGCCTCTGAGGTTAGGGATCTATGTCAGCAATCGGAAGGTTGCTGGTTCAAATCCTTTGAATGCCAGGAGTGACCTTGCTCAATTGAGCCCTTAAGCAAATCCCTTAACTTGCAATTTATCTCTCCTGTGTGTGACGCTGATCTATACCCAGGCCTGTAAGAAGGTCCCCCAACTTACAGGGAAATCTGGAGGTTGGTGGCTGGAGTGCCAATCCTGCCACCAACCTCCAAAAAACTCACACTGGTCCATTTGCACTAGTGTGGTGCTGAGGTATCACCCACCGCACGGCTGCACTCAGGTTCTCATCCCTGAGGTGGTTCGTTGTTTTTTTTTGCCCAGTAACCAAGGAGCCCATTTGTGGGCATGAAGGAAGAAGCGGATTTCACTCACGCACTGTCCCCGCCTTGGCATGTGACTCAAAGATGAGCAGGCCTGCCAGCTCCCTCTTCACCTGCGGGGGAAACACTGGCGGATGAGGAGTGCCGGTCACATGAGGGCATCTCTGAAGCACTGAGCGTGGCGGAATACTCACTGACCGTGGTGGAGAGGTGAGACAAAGCTTTAATGTGGAGCAGCTCTTCATAGACGATTTCCAGGTCATCCGCTGTCCTCTGGCCCGGCCTGCAGAGAAAGCAGAGTGTGATTTAAGGCAGGTGACCAGAGACAAGTTATGATTGGTCCACTTGGCCAAAGAGGAGACAGTTTATGTCATTATGAGCTGACAGGCCAAGAAGTCTCTCGATCCCCCCCCCCCCCCCCCACCACCACCAACGTCAGATGTGACTCATCACAGCTGATTGCTAAGACTCAGTCAATGGGACCAATTATGTGAAGAACAGATTCCTCAGAACATTCCGGAAGGACCAAAAATAAATGCTCAATTTACATTTCTATCTTGCACTATATCTGAAAACTTTTGACGGAAGGTGAAGACCTTCTGAGAATACTGCCTGGCAAAGCGTCAGCTCTGTGCTGGAGAGCATCCCTTTGGGAAGGGTGGTGGTCGGTAGCCGGAAACTCCGGCATCCTGTTCACGGTGGGGGGGGGGGAGGTTGGGGCGTCTCCGGCCCACACTCACAGCTTCCTCAGGATCATGCGCATGTGGGCGTCTGGCCCAATCTGGGACAGCAGGAGCAGCATGTCCTGCAGCTCCTCCTCGCTCTCCTTCTTCTCCTCCTCGCTGGGCGGGGGCACGTCTTCCTGCTCGTCGTCGAGGAAACGGTAAAAGAGGTACTTGTCCTGGAAGTGGAGCTCCTGGTCCACTGGAGCCCAGAAACACGAGACACACCAGAGGGCTTTCAGGTCAGACGGACTGGCAGCGGCCGCACCACGGCATCCCGCAAGGCCTCCATAAAACAGCACTTTTGGCTTGTTAAATACAGCCCATTGAAACCTGCTGATATCAGCTTGGCTATTTTTAGACCCATTTAATCCAAGACTTTGCTCATGAAACTCTATTCTTTTGCCTATAAATAAGCTTGGACCCTTAAAGCTATAGCAGAGCACTGGATTATTATCACTGCATACAGACACAATCTAAAACTTTTAGGAGCCCTTTCAATGTTCTTACGGTGATCAGACATGCATGTCGTCGTTGCTAGATGAAAATCACACATCTCTAAAAATCCATAATTTCAGGAGCGTGAAAAAAAATGCATTTTCTCAGAAATTTCTTTAGAAATTAAACCTAAAACAACAAAAAGACACCCTTACCACCTAGAAACCTGGCTTTGCACAGGCACTAGTGAAGGGTTTAATGTTCTATATGGACTTACCTGGATATTTGGTAGAGAGCCATATATCAGTGTCAACAAGATACAAACTAATCTCACTTTATATTTACAATTAACAATGATATTAGTCTGATAGCTATAGTGGGGGATACAACTACTGAACGTGTCAACATTTTTTTCACATCATCATCCTGTTGGAAGGGCCGCCCACATCATCATCCCGCTGGAAGGGCCGCCCACATCATCATCCTGCTGGAAGGGCCGCCCACATCATCATCCTGCTGGAAGGGCCGCCCACATCATCATCTTGGTGGATGGCAGCAGATTCATTAAGAATCTCTCGGGACACGACCCCATTCATCGCTCCTTCACTTATATAAACTCTGCCGCCAGTACCATGAGATGCAAACCAGTCCCACTCCATGATGCTTCCACCCCCAAATGTCACTGCCGGTACAGTGTTTTTCAGGTGATGTGCAGTGACATTTCCCCTCCGAACATGTGTAGTATGGCAGCCAAAAAGTTACATTTTGGTCTCATCTCACCAGACTACATTTCTCCAGCATTTCATAGGCTTGTCCAAATGATGTATAGCCAACTTTAAATGAGCTTCAACAAAGCCTCCTCAGTGATGGAGTCCTGTGGGCAGGGCGTGTACAGAGGCCATGCCGGTGGATTGCATTCTCTATCCGTTTCTCTGCTTCTAAGTCTTTCTGGAGCTCTTTTCAGAGTGGTCCTTGGCTCTTGGGCTGATCTTCTGACCTATCCTTCTGACTCCCAGGTCAGAAATCTTGCGAGGAGCTCCTATGCATGGCCGGTTGATGGTGGATTGATGTTCCCACCACTTGCGGATGATGCTCCCAATGGTGTTTACTGGAACATTCAGAAGTTTTGAAATATATCCGTAACCAGTTCCATTGATATGTTTTGCAACAATCTGGTTGGGAAGGTCTTGGAATTTGGTGATCAGTGGTCATTGTTGACACACCACAGCACACAGTGCACAACAGCGAAATGTATCCTCTGCATTTAACCCATATGTGACATTGTGACATAGCAGGGGGCAGCAAATTCAGCACCCGGGGAGCAGTGCTTGGGGGCGGTACCTTGCTCAGGGTACCTCTTGTTAGAGCTCTTTGCTTTTACCCATCATGAGATGCTTCTTGTGTGACACCTTGATAACTAAAAACCTTTTTATAGCCCATTAGTAGTCTGTAGTGACCAGGCTGAGATTACTCTGCACAGATAGTTCCTCGCCTGGTTCCTTGCCTGGTTCCTTGCCTTCCCTTGGTGTACTGCTTTTTCTTAGTGTGTTCAATACATTTTTCCTGTGTCATTCCACTTTATTACACATCACTTTATATATGGACGTTTATGTTGTGAATTCTTTATAGCTGTGGATTTCCTGCGTTAATACCAATGCCTGGTGAAAATTTCACGTGAATAGCCTCGTTGGACACAACTATTAACTGAAAAAAATGCTGACACGTTCAATACTTACAGTATTTCCCCCACTGTATCTAGCTATCAACAATTAAAAAGATTAGTGTTATTAAGCAATGTACACAAATTACCATCATGAATACAAAAGTTAACTAGTACAAAAATGAATACCAGTTAAATAAATGACTTCACAATAAATCTTTTTACTGGTCGATTAGCTGTCAAACGCTATCAGTAGACAGAGGAGAATGGGTATATTCCATCAAAACTGTCAGAAAGTGGACAAACGTGGTTTTCGTCAGACAGTGATCGTATGCTGGCTCCAGGTGTGTGGTGCCCTTACCGTGGTTCAACACTCCTTCTTCAAGCACAACCTGCCACATCCCGATGGCCTGAGTGCGGGAGTGGACACATGGGCTCTGCTGGGTCAGCCAGTCCACCATCTCGGTGCCCACACAGCACTGCCTGCATGAGACGGACACGCACACAGAGACGCTCACTGTACAGTGTCGCGATGCCAGCACCGGGGCCTGCGAATGCCTGACACTCGGACGGACGGGCAGACATGTGCTCGGCGCAGAACCTTGGACAGCGGCCACCTATATAAACCTCAGGGCCGGTGTTTGGGACGGCAGGCCGGCATACGGCACACGGACACGCTGACGTTGATGCACGGCTGGGGGCGATGCATCCGTCCAGTTGCCACTCCTCTCCTCTCCTGGCGTCTGTGCTTCCGTTAAAATAACCAGCCGCAATATTTGATGTGATCCTTCTAGACATCACTGCCTGAATCACTGGCCGTCGTCTTTGACTACTTAAAAATGAGCAACCCATTTAAATTCCTTTCACTTCTACATTTTTCTCCCTACCTTTTGCTTTCATTTAGACCAGTGAGTGCCCACAAGCCACGGGTAGCTCAAATGGAGCCAATGAGTAGTTCCAAAAACACTTTTTAGAAATCGGATCATTTATGTCCTGGGTTATTCCCTGTCTAGCTTCCAGGATTGGACCCCTCAACCCAGCAAAGGACATTCGGGTATAAAAAAAAATGATGGATGTTATTTGATTTTTGTTTTTTTTTATAAATTTTGCCTAAAATAGGCAAGTAACTGTATAGTGACCATCCCACCTGACCCACTCCCATGACTGATATAATCTTGTAGCTCCCCAGATCACTTTCTTTGTAGAAGTAGCTCTCACTGTAAATAAGTCTGGACTTGCCCTGACATTTATGTCTTTCTCAGTTGGACCTGGAACAGAGTAAGAATGCTGCCTTCAATCTACCACAGTCCCAGAGTCTGCAAACTCTTCTCTGCTCCGGACTTGATGTGATTTATTATTTTGCAAACACCACCTCTTTATGGCTTACACTCTTACACCAGTAGTGTGCTTCCAGCTCGAACCCGCCACACTGGCAGAGGATGTGGATATTAGCAACGGTTTCACCAGCCGCTCGAATCAATTAAAGCATCCATCTGTGTCACAGGAATCTGGCGGCATGGAGATGGAAGAACGGGCCAAATTCCCAGCGGAACAGACAGCCACCATCGGGCAGCACATGGCCGCCCCCGCAGAGGCAGCGAGGAGGCAGCGAGGAGGCAGCAAGGAGGCAGCGGCGGGCCGCGGTGAAGTGGATCCCCGTGCCAGATGAGCACAGGAGCGCACATGGGCCCCTCACAAAGGCGTCGGAGTATAGCGACGTGAAAGTCGCGGCACAATGGGAGGACTGCAATCTGGGGAAATGCGTTAACAATCTCACTCCCTTTCTGGTCAGGGACACCCACCGTGCATGCGATAAGGTCCTGGCAGCGGAGATCATGGCTTTCCATGCCATGAAGATGGAGGTCCTCTTCTGGATGGGTCACTGCCTTACCCATGGTCCCAGTGTTGAGACCGTTAGCACCATGCTGGCTGAGACCCAAGAGTTCACAGCCATACAGCTAATGCAGAGAGTGCCGACGGACAGCTAAACCCCAGCCCTGTGTTACAGCCCGCATCGCCCCATCCAATCAGCTGGCCACAATTTACGACGGACGGCTTAAAACCACCCATACCATTTCATTTTCTTTAATTTTATTTTTGCCTTGTTTTGATCACCCTTCCTCATGCTTTCTTTTAGTTCATCAGCAGGATGTTCAGTCAGTTTCTTCTCCAGTAAACACCTCTTCAGCACCTGTGCTCAGGCTTATTACAACAGACACCCTCAACATTCAAACACAGCCACAGTTCCTCTCTCTCACATACAAAGACAAGTAAAGGTAACGCTTTACTTGAGGGGGCACAAATACTTGGTGGTAACTCAGTTACTGCTGAGGTACAAATCATGAACAAATACAGGATTCATTTATGATAAACATGAGATCAGTATTTATCTTGTGTTGTTCCTTTGTGAACTACTGAAGGAACAAACAATGTTTACAGAATTAATATAGTAAGAAATTTAGTGACTGCCTGGGATAAATGCTTCACAGTTCATTAATAATGAACAAACATAACAGATATAGTAACAAATATAGTAACTAAAAGTTGAATCATGATTTCTTAATGCTGAATTAACATGAAATCAGCATGTAACTAACACTTAGTGTATGGTTAATCAATACATAAGTAATGGCTTAATATTGCATCATTTATGCCCCCTCAAGTAAAGTGTTACCAACCCAAGATAAAGAGCAATCTGGGAAAAGTGCATCAGAAGAACCTGGCAAGGGCGTCAGAATGGGCTGTCCATGCACTCAGCCCACCTATAGGTCTTCAGGTGGTACTTCCTGTCCCGGATCATGTGTGATGCCCTGGAGAGGATGGCATGGCGAAGGACCTTGCCTGCCCTCAGGATCTTCTCAGACGGAACCTACGACGGAGGCAGGGAATGTGCAGTGAGTGACAAGCTGCAGACAAGGGCACCATGAGGCGGGAATTCCGGAAAACCGCACCTCGCACCACCTAGCACGTCGGAATACCTGGATAACGGATTTAGCGCAGGGTTTGGCTCGGCTGCCAATGAGTGGAGGCTGAAAAACAAAACAGGAGTGAAGATGAAGGACGAACAGAAATGGAAGAAGAGAACTAAATGGGCTGAGATGAAAATGAAGTGAAATGATAAAGATAACATGAACACACACACACACACAAATCAATAAAACTTTGTATAAGTGAAAAAAACTGCATTACGTGGCTTAGCAAGACCAATGATATTTTTGCACCACAGAAACTACATTTCCTTCTTTAAAATAGAAAGAAACTTCTTCAGTTTAGTTAATAAATCATCCTCAACCATTTTTTTTCTGCTTGGCAGGTTAAAATTACTAGTATCATGAAGACTGCTTCTATCTCTGTGAACGACTGGATGAAGTACACTAGTAATCAATCCAGTACTGGGATGTTTAAAATAGAGAACTAAATAAGTAGAATGTTTAATGCCACTTTGAGGCCAGCGGGGGGGGGGGGTTGTCCCACACCCATAACGGAATAGAGTAGTGATCTCCGAGATGTCAGGATATGACTGATATATAAACACACGTGGAGAGAGGCTTTCCTTCCTTCCTCGTGTTTTTTTCCAGGATGTGACATGTCTGGCGTGCTGCCCACGCGCCCCCTCCTGTCAACAGAGCTCTGTTCTGCACTTGGCTGTTAAACATGCGCCGCTATTGTTCGCTGTTGACGGGGGACGCCGATCGGCCCAGGCGACTGAAGGCGCCACACCAACATCCTCTTGTTTTGCCGCCACGTTCACAAATACACCTTCACATCTGCCTCGGTCGTCAAGGAAACAGCCCCAGTGCTGCCCAACAGCCCCTGGGAATGAAAGTGCACCTGGGTTTGGGGTTTCCAGGGTAACATGATAGCAAAATGGACATGCTAATCCCTGGGGCATGGTGATGGACATCCGGGAGCCTCTACGGGCTTGAACCTGGGGGCCTGAGGGGGGGGCCGCGCCCCTCCCGCATCATCGCGGCCACCGCCGCCAGCGGCTGACCCGCTTCCCAGCAGCTGCTGTTTTGCATGACAAACAAGGCAGCGCCGTGGACAGGATGCGCTTTCATGCACCGTGGTACCGTGTCACGCCGGCCGTGAGCATCTGCAAAGTGAAGCGATTGGCGGCGGGCAGCAGGGGAGGGGCTCACGGCCAAACTGCATGAACGAAGCGCCATCTGGCCCCATGACCAGCTTACTGCGCATCTTGGACCCTGCGCTGCTTTTTGGAAAACTTGATATCTGGCACTTTGGCACTGGAAGGACTGACAGCTGACCAGATCGATCACGCGTAGGTTACAAAAACAAGAGAGGCAACAGGAGCAAAATGTCTTCCAAAATTTGCCAACTGAATTTCCTCTCTGCTTGAGAAACACCTGACAGTATCCTAGCTGACAAAAAGTTAAAGAAAATACCTGCTGCTTTACTGATCAAGCGTGAGGTTGGATGTTTTACACTGATTGCTTCTCTAAGCATGAGAATAACATCTTCTTACAATTGCACTGCTGTTTCAAACTGTTTCTGAAATTAATATATTAAATCCTTAATCAAGCCAATTAGTGGTGTTGGATTGATATTATCAAATTGAAGCGAAGCTAACTAACACTGAGAACTGTTCACATCACCCAACACCGAAGACAATAAAGCCACATCCATCCTTTGCCTAACTGGTCAAAAATCTGACTGCTTTTTACAGTGCGTTTGCTTTCCAGGGCTAGAATCGATCAGTGAGGTATATTTATCTACTCCATTAATCATTTATTATCCTCCTCTAAATCTTAACAGTATACAGCTTATTTAAACATGCACAAGTGGTCCATATTACATTATTTCAGAGGCAGATTGATTCTCTGTTGGCCTTTGGACATTCTTTCTTCAGAAAACATTTTACAATGATTTCATGCAGTATCTGATAAGGATACAAACCACAAGATACAGTAACTGTGATTCTTATAAGAGGTCAGGATGTGAAATAATATTGTTAATCTTCGCAGGCATCTGGCATTACATTATTCTAGCAAGATTTTTCCTGAGCCCTGTCAGGATTGTCGAGGAAAATCTGTTAACTCTTCACTTGAGGGTGCACAAGTAACTTAGTAACTCAGTTACTACTCAGTACAAATTCATGGATTAATGCATCCAACCTATTATGTTTATCCTACTCAGGACCGCGTGGGTCCGGAGCCTATCATGGAGGCTACGAGCGCAAGACAGGAAACAACCCAGGATGGGGCGCCAACCAATCACAGGGCACAGTTACACATATATGCAAGGCAGGGAACAACCCAGGATGGGGCGCCAACCAATCACAGGGCACAGTTACACATATATACAAGGCAGGGAACAACCCAGGATGGGGCGCCAACCAATCACAGGGCACAGTTACACATATATGCAAGGCAGGGAACAACCCAGGATGGGGCGCCAACCAATCACAGGGCACAGTTACACATATATGCAAGGCAGGGAACAACCCAGGATGGG